TGTTGGAATTGGAATGTGTTGGCTTTTTGGAGAATTGAAAACATATGAATTATGAAATTGCCGTCGTTAATAAAATTTATTTACATATTCGTAATAAAATTCACTAAATAATTTTTTTTTGTTTTAATTATCTATTTGGATCACAATTACTAATTTAATTATTGTTTTATCATATTTCAAAATTACAATATCATATTAATATATATATATATATATATATATATATATATATATATGTATATATATATATATATATATGTATATATATATATATATATATATATATATATATATATATATATATATATATACCCTGTCCATCAATTATCAAACATTACAATGCACATATGGGTGGCGTAGATTTGGCAGATATGCTAGTTGCGTTTTATCGAACACCATTTAAAAGCCACAGGTGGTACCTTTCAATTTTTTCCCAAATACTGGATATATAATTCTATGTGTTAACAACGCTTGGATTTTATATCGCGGAGATAATAATTTACTGGAGGACGAAGAAAATGGTATCGGTCTAAAGGAAATTAGAATATTACTTGTCGATTCCCTTCTATTTAAAAATTGAAAAAGGAGATCCTACGGAATTAATACACCGAAAAAAAAAAGATTCCTACTCACGTCCAGAATATACCTGGAGAAGATGTTAGAAAAGATCTTTTTGGACACTTTTTTCCAACTTTTACAACCAAACGACGATGTCGAAACTGTTGCAAAGGACAAACAACTATGAGTTATTCAAAATGTAGAGCGAGGTTATGTTTAGTGGAATCCCGTAATTGTTTTTATGATTTTCATAACTAAATTTTTTAATTTTTTAACAAATTATAATTATTACTTTTTACTTTTATTTTTTGAGAGTTCTAAGTTTTATTTAAAGTTTTGAATTTAAGCTGTAAAAATAAATATTTGATCATCTTTGTAGTTTATTGAATAAACTAAATGATAAAATATTATGTTATGTTACTAAAAGTAAATGATAAAATATTATGTTTATGGTTTAAACCCCTACTTTATGGTATCTGTTCATAATAACTGAAGTAAAACACAAATCCACAAAATGTAGTAAAAACATTAAACAAATCTACAATTGTTTTGCTAAAAGTCTTGATAATGCTAAAGACCCTTAGCGAAAAAATTGTAGATTTGTTTAATGTTTTTACTATATTTTGTGAAAATTTGATAATTTCCATTTAATCCAACATTATTTAATATATTGGTCCAAACGACAAATATACCTCTTGGCAATGTATCTTTCTAGATACGGAGGTATTTTTCTCATAGCCTGGCAATGTATCTATTGGTCATCAGTACTTGTTGTATAGTATACCTGGCAATGTATCTTGCGAGATACATTGTAATATACCGTACGCCTAGCAGTGTATCTTATGAGATACAACGTCAATAAAATGTCAAAAAAATTAAAATAGAAACAAAAATGTAATTGACTCTGAAAATGGAGCCCTCAAAAGATAATATTCAGTAAGCAAAAACATTTTTCTTACAGCGGTTATGTGCGTGCCAAGTTAAGGGTTAAAAACTAAAATTAAAAACTTAATATTAACTTTACTTATCGTTGGTATTTTTTTTTCATTTCAGCTTCCGAGTTTTTCTTTAAATAATTTTTGATTTAAATAATTTTGCTCACAAACATTACTTAATTTTTATTTAATTTAAAGGCAAATTTTTTTGTGTCAAAAAAGTCACAGGTCATAGAGGTTTAAATTTTATATCACACAAGTTAAATCATCTATGCTGGATCTGCAAAACGTGGCAAACATGTTTTGAGACTGTAAGTTTAGTTTAATAATAACAATTTTGCTCAAGTGTTACATGATTTAAAAATCCTTAAGGGGACATAATGGGACTATTGCATAACAACAATATATATTTTTTCAATGCTCAGTCAGTTTCGCAGGAGACAAGATGATATTTAGTATTTAAAACTCGGTGACCTGGCAATATCTCCTATGTGACTTCACCTAAACTTTTCAGGACAGACAAAAAACTTTATAATTATAAAATTTTAACATATTTCAATTGTTTGTTTGTGTTTTATGATCTGTGTGAAAGCAACATTTTTACTTTTTATTAAAAAAGTTAATATTTAATCGAATTTAGTTTTGTTAATCTAGATAGGAGGTATTGCTTTAAGTAATGTTACTCATAGGAGATACTGATTTTTATTTAATATGAACTTAGGAGTTGTTGTTTATTAAAATTAAGGATAGATGCCCTTTTATTCGAATTAAATTAAATAATTCTTTAAAATTAAACAATAATTAGATTTAACAGTTTTATTTATGGTAATATAAAACAATTATTATTGTGTGTGTGTGAGAGAGAGAGAGAGAAAGATGGCATTAGACAAAGAATCTTTTTGCCACAGAAAATTGTTATAAGGATGTTTAAATTTTTATTTTAGAATCGTTTATAAACTTGATTAGAATATTATATTATATAGATTTGTCAGAATAAGATAACAGATTGCTGATGTTAACTGGAAGGCTAATATTGAGATCAATTAAACCTAAATATAGTCTTCGAGTCTGTTCCCTATGATAAGAACAATCGAAAAATAAGTGATTCAACTCTCCGATAGATTTATTATTACAAGGACAGAAAGGAGTTTCATAGATTCCAATTCCATGCAGATGCTCTGGAAAGAGGCCATGGTTCAGTTTTAGCCGCGTTATTAACGAAGAATGTACTTTATTAAAGTTAAGATTGAAATGGGGAATATTTTTTGGTAAGCATGGGTGAATAGAAAAGTAATGGTTTCTTGAAGTCTTCTGAACCTCTTTATATTTTGACATCCATCTTTCCCTGCCAATACTCCTGATAATAGAAAAAAGATCTTTAAAGTAGTAAAAATTTGTAATTTCGGATATCTCAGATGTATTTTTTGCCATACTGTCCACCAATTCGTTTCCAATTACTCCATTGTGTCCTTTAACCCAAAGAAAAGTAACTGATTTGTTTGTGAATTTTAGCTCATATATAATAATTTTTTGATATCAAGTATAATGGAGTTTTGGAAACTATCTAATGGATGGCTACGAATAGCTTGTAACACTGCCTGAGAATCTGATACTATTACGATGTTCTCACAATAATTAGTGACACACCAAGATAGTGCTTTCTGTATAGCAGCAGCCTCGGCTGTAAAAATAGAACAACATTCAGGAATTCGATATTTCTCAACATAGTTGCTGTTTGAAACAAAAAAAGCGAAACCAGTACTTTCAACAGTTTTTGATCCATCTGTATAAATTATTGTTAAATCTTCCCCTAATTTGCTTAGTATGGATTTGAATATCAGATTAGTTAAAATTGGCAAGTCTGAATAAGAGGGCATTATAATGGTTGGTTTGTCTATCAAAACTTCAAAGTCTTGTACGTACAAAGTAAATTTTGGTAGCTGTAATATCTATCTATCTAATTAGCCTTCTTCGGTCCATCTTTGGACATAGGCCTCCCCAATCCTTTTCCATTCTTCTCTGTCTGTCGCTACGGTCATCCATCTGGAGCCCACGTGCTTTTTGATATCATCTGCTCATCTCATTTGGGGCCTTCCTCTGCTTCGTTTATATTCCCACGTCTCCAACTTATAAGAATTTTGTTCCATCGGTCTTCTGTAATCTGTAAGCTGTAATGTATAAGATTGAAATTAATTCGTATCGATAAAAGATTCTGCAAGGGGAGGAGAATTTTTTATTCTCCAATAAGGATTTGTTAAATTTTCTGTCAAAAGTAAACCTATTTTGTGAACCATAGTTGTATTAAACGATCTGTACGTTATTAGACGTTTGTTGGCTAACATTTGCCTACGTATGAATAAAGGTAGTTCCTGGGCTTCTGCTAGAACTGCTTGGTTTGGTGAAGACATCATAGCTCCTAAATCAATTTTTATTAATTTAAATTGTATTCTGTCAAGAGTTAATAGATTTGTTTTGCATGTTGAACCGTAAAGAATACAACCGTAATCCAAAATGGATCGTATGTAGGATCTATAAAACATTAAAGAGATATTTTGATCTGCACCCCATCTTTTTTTAGAAACGAAACGCAGAAGGTTAATTCCACTCTCGCACTTTTGTTTTACGTACTTTACATGACTAGACCACAAGAGCTTTTTATCTAGGATCATGCCTAGATACTTATACTCTTCTGCTAAGGGGAAATTATAATCACCTATCTGGCATTTGCCTGTGACTTTTTGTCTACGTCTAGTGAAACATACAATCGAAGATTTTTCTTGTGATATACTAAAACCCATTTGTTTCACCCCCTTATCTATATTACTAAAGCTAAGTTTTAGATTCAACATACAATCTTCATAGGATTTATGGCTGGTATATAAACATATATCATCTGCATATTGAATTATTTTGCATTTTTCATCCATAAAACCATGCAGATCTGCAGTATAAACATTAAACAATAAAGGACTTAGAATTGAGCCTTGTGGGAGACCGTTATATAATATTCTTGGACCGTGTAATACATTTATATGGTCCCGTAAGTATATTTTTCTATTCACATACAAATTTATTATATTTACAGATAATCTTTTATCAATACCGCATGCCACCATTTTTGAATATAATATATCCAAATCAACTACGTCATATGCACCCTTTAAATCTAGAAACAAACATAGCATGAATTAATTATACAATTATTATACAATTATTATTATAAAACACAATATTAAAACTTGATTAAAACACAAAAAACAACGAACAAAAATTATTTCATAAGTAGGTACATGTGCGTAAACAAAAAAATTAAAAGATATATCTGTGTAAAAGGCCATCATAAAATAAATGCGAATCTTTTGGTAGGGTCGATTTTAGATCTTGTAAATGTTGCCATTTCTCCGTTTTTATTTTAGAAGGCAATATAAATAAAGGTGGATAGTCCAGAATTGTTGGCATAGTCTTTGATTTGATAGGGACTTGTAAGTATTATCCTTTATGATCAGTTTATATTTCTATGGTCCCAACTGGATCGTATTTGATATATCTTATATCAGTAATGGTTGGGTCATAAGCTTTTCTTCCTGGTCGGATTGAGGAATATCGCATGTGGTTGGAGGATGAATGGTCTTTAAAAAACGTATGGTCTAATATTTTGACTCTATATGGCTTAGTTCCCTTCATTGCTTGATCTGTAATGGAAGCATAGTCACTGGGTAAATGGATTTCCTTATTTTCAAGACGCCTGTCTATCATACTATGTACCGAGTCACATTCCATTTGAGAGTGACCCGGTTCAAGATATTTTTCAAACACTAACACATTATGTTTGATAGCAAAGTTTAGTAAAGCGTTGGCCAGGATATTATTACGATTTTGATAACCGTATCCATCATAATAAATAACTACTGGCGTTTTTGAATCGGTAACACAGTTTTCCTCTAAATAATGTATGATACAGGAAACCAATGTGGATGCTTTGAGCTGGTTATTTTCGTTTTCTGAAAACCAATAGCACATAACATCGCGAGTTTTAGGTTGTAAACTGTGAAGTTATGGCAGGACAGCTTTATCCAAAGTTTTAGCTTCTCTGGCGTCTTCCTTTCTCTTTATATGAGCTCTATACTCTTCTTCAGTCGTATTCCTATATTTAAATGCAAAACAAGTATTGCATTGGTCTTTTTCGGTATATATAAAGCGAAAAATTATTCTCCTTAAATCGTTTTGAGAATACGTTGCGACCTAAAGGAGTTATATTCTTTTCTTGACAAAAATTGTTTACATAAACACCATATACAAAAACACCATATAAATCTGACATACTGGTAAAAGAATATTCTAAATACAATTTTTGTGTTTCGCTACGACAATAGTGTGAAGTAGATAATGATTCGTCGGTCATACCGCAAGAACTATTATCCACTCAATAATGAATGGTTTTATAACCTATATCTAATGTATTTATGAACATGCTACGACATACTTGTAAGTTTTCGTTGCCGTCATGTAAGTATTTAGTGTACGTACCTTGTCTTCTTGAATTTTCCTTGTTTTGTTTGATTTAAATGTTGGAGTTTTAAATACATGAGATGCTACAAAGACCTTACGTTGATCCCAAGTCATACTAACTGGTTTTTAATATTATTATCCCCCGTATTATTTTTGTTAATTCATTTCCACAAACATCATGTTAACTTTGATTTCCTGAAATCCGAAGAGTTTCAACTGTTTGGTTCCTATTTGTTCCTATATGTTCATTGAAAGGGACATTAGTCGTTTCTAAAAATATAATTTATTGTGATACTTAAATAGCTGCTAAAAAGACATTACCATAATTGTTAATATCATAAAATTCAAAACTGTACCTGCTAAAGAACGAGAACAATCATCTAAAACATTTTTCTTTGTACACAGATCTTCTAAGATGAATTTACCACGATACATCTTATCAAGTTATTTAATAAAATTTCTTATGTCAATATTATTATAATTAACACTTTAAACGGAAATAAATGCTACGAAAAACACACATAAACAAGTAACACAAATAATAATAACCAACGTGACTTAACTTTTTACTAGAAAGCTTCCTCATTTTTTTCTTTTTTTTTCTACCCTGCCCCAAAGGAACATGTGTATACCACAATGTAAGAGTGGGATCCACATATCTAAAGATCAAACCGGTCACACTTCACTAGTTGAAGTGGTACCTATCTGACCCCCAGGCTTTTTCTCCACCCCTCCTCATCGTATGACTTACGTGAGGAGGCTTTTGATCTGAAAGTTATTTTCAGTTACAGAGGGTGCCCTGGGTAATGGGACACCCTCTGTTTTTATTGACCGTAGTTATGCCACCTAACTGTAGGGGTAGCCACATGTAGGCTTTTCTCCCTATTTACTTTACTGATTCTATAGAAGTTACTCTAACTTGACTTCGGGACTTAAGTCCTAAAAGAAAAAGAAAAAAGAGTGTGTGCCCGGTCACTCAGCCGCCGATTTCGCAAAATAAATTTCTCCACGCCGGCTGAGCACCCGAGGAGGGTCCGGCCATCAAGCCCATGTATGCCGCACATGGTCTAAATGCTCGGAGTTCGCGAAAAGATCAGTACACTTGATCTGCCTTAAGGGCCAATCTACAGATTGCGGTATATGGAAGGCCTGACGGGCCTTCTATATTTACTAGTAGAGAATTTAATTTACGTTGAAACGTTTAGTGGGTATAGTATAATCTAAGTGAAATTAATCAGTAAACACAATTTTTTGTGGTTTCCTTGGTGTTTCGGGACTATAACATGCCTGGCATCAATTCTTACCCTATTATCTTAATCCTATTGTGTGCGTGTAGTTTTGGTGTGCATTCCAGGGTGTATAGGGCCTTCACACACCCCGTGTATATTGTCCTTAATTAAGTACCTAAGTACCTATATCCTCTCGCCAGAGTCCTAACCTAAAAAACCTAAAAACCTAAAAGCGTACCCTCTTGCCATAGTTTTTTGGGTGTGTTTACTGACTGACTGCACATCGGTAGTCCGTCATCTCCGCAACCATCTCATTCTTTATTTATTCATTTGGGTTCTTACTATATCCAGCTATCTGTTGTTTTGGTCTTCTGTGTACCGTCCTAGTATTCTCGTTGTAGTTTGTCAGCTCTCTTAGCATTATGCTGGAGTGGTTTCTTAGTCCGTTAAATATTTCATATGCTCTGAGTCTCTGTATACGAATCTCAATTGTACGTATTTAGGTATCTTGAGAGATCTCTGACTATTTAATTTTGTGTGGTCTGTATTTTTTTCCTGTTTGTCTTACAGGTGTGACCCCACGCAGCGGACGCATATGATGGAACTGGCAGGATGATGCTATTCGTAACCCTGATTTTAGTTTTAAATCTCAGTTTGCTTTTTCTTCCTATGAGCAATGAGAGCTGAGTTTTCAACGCATTAGCTTTACAATTTTTAGGTTATAAAAATTATAAAAAACTATTATTTTATTTTTAGCATAAAACGATCCTAAGCCAAAATAATGCAAATATTACGTCACACTATCTAAGCTTTTTGATAAACTACATAACAGTAAACTTATGCCACAATATTTACTTAAGGTATTGCGTCATTGTAGGTACCTCTAGTTGTTAAAAGTTTGCTTTTAATCATACAACAAATAAAACTTAAGTGCTGCATTTACACAATGGATTGATTACTAACGATATAAATAAAAGTTATTCATTAACAGGCACGTCATCAAAAATGTTAAATTTTTTCTCTTACGTCGTTAATTTAACATATATTATTATACTTTGAGGGTATACAAGGCAACTATCGAACACGGTGATTAATTTAATCTTGCCCAAGTACTTTCAATCAATAGATCATCTTCAGGGGCATCTGAAATAAGCCAAGAAACGTTTTTTATAAACAGGAAAATTAATTCACTTGGATAAAAAAACTCCAAGTTTATGGTTGAAAAAAATTTTTATATGTGATAAACGTTTATAGACTTACTTCGTCAATTGTGGACTATCCGACATAGTAGAATGTCATAAATTTAAAACTGGACATAACAATACAAAATACACTACACTAAGACAAACAAACACTTTAAAATTTATATGGCGAAGCTACATATTGTGAAGAAGCCGGAGACAGAATGGGCTCCCGGTCTGACGGAAATGTAGAGATGACATGTGACAAATGACAGCTTATGAAGGGCAGTTATGTGATCTGCACCTTTCAAAATTCTATGACACTAAGTATTGACCAAAGGTCCAACTGACACCACTATAGGAAATCGACTGATGAAATATAAAATTATATAGTATATTTTTTATGTGGATTGAATAATTCCAATCTCACACTCAAACCTGTCTATAATAATTAGGATGTTGGTTTGAGAGCAATTGAAGTTGACATAAAGTATGAATGTGAGAAAAGACTAACAATATATTAGACAGTGGATGGTTGACTACAATAAAATGGTCCACCAAGCGCTATCAGTACTGTAAAAAAGAAAAATCTGAATATGCAGTTAAATTACTAAAAGTTAAAATCAAAATTGAAGACAAAATATATAAATGTGTTATAGTCCACGTAGTTCAGTTGAATCCACAGTCAATGGAAGAACTTTAAAATTAATATTGAAATATTCAGTGCATGAAGTCTAAACAGTCGAGCTGGGTCCTCTACGAGGTGAAGCTGTAATAAAGTTTTTAAATATAGGATTAAATTTAGTACAATTTAAATTAATTTGAGTATTAAGACAGTGAGAGTTTTCATTTGTTTCCCTTGTAATCTCCAAATCTTCCAATAAATCCAACTCAAGATAGTTTTTTCTTTCTGCTAATGTCATGTAAGATAGATGAACCAGAATTGATGTTAAAATTGTGGTTGCTGGCTACTAAGTGTTGACCAAAACTTGAAGAATTTGGTCTTTTCAAATGTTCAGAGACTCTAGTGGATAACTTTCTGATGGTTCTACCTACATAAGATGCATCACAATCATCACATTTTAATTTGTAAATACCACTTTTATCAAGTGTATTCATCCTATCTTTGGTATTGATTAAGAAGGAACCTAAAGTGTTATGTGATTTAAAGGAAATTTTGATGTTATCAATTGTAGAAGAAAAAAGTTTAGATATTTTATTGGAAATGCTACTAATATAAGTGAAGGAGAAATATCTGATGTTATCTGAACCATTCGGTTGGGAAAACTGTGAAGAATATGCAAGCTTTTCTGCAATTTTTAGTTTAGCTCTATTTAGAAGTTTGTATATAATGTTGGGATCATAGCCATTATTGAAAGCAATCTGCTTAAGAGTATTAAGTTCTGTATTGAAAATTATCATCAGAGAGAGGAAATTTAAGTAACCGATGAATGTAACTGTTGAAAGCAGCCATTTTATGCTGAGTAGGGTGGTTAGACGTTTCATGTATAACGTGATCTGTTTGGGTGGGTTTTCTAAAAATGTTGTACTCTAAAGAATCTTTCTTACGGGAAATAGTCATATCCAAGAAGTTCAACTTATTGTCAGATTCTGGTTCCAGAGTAAAAGAGATGTTAGGATGGAGGTTATTAAGATCATCCAGAATCTGTAAAGCATCATCTTGGGTTCCCTGTATGAGAGCTATACAATCATCAACATATCTAGACCAAAAAACTATTTTGTTGTTGTTATTAACAAACTTCTGTTCTAAGCTATCTAAGAAAATATCAGCTAGAAAAGGTGATAATGGAGATCCCATTGCTAAACCTGTTGGTTGTTTATATATTTTTTGATTGAATTGAAAGAAGTCCTGATCCAGACAGAATTTAAGCATAGTTAATATAGCATGTTTATCCTTTGCAGATATGTTGCAATTGTCTAGAAGGTTGTGTACTAAAGGTAATGTTTCATCTCTTGGTACAGAAGTAAACAAATTGGAAACATCAAAAGAAACTAAATAAAAACCCTCTTCTATCCTAATGTTGTTTAAACGTTCTATTAGATCTAAAGAATTTTTAATAGAGAACTTAGGTTTAAAATTAGTGATAGACTGTATTGTGTTGTAAATAAACTCTGATAATATAGAAACTGGAGTGTTACAAAAACTTACTACAGGCCTTATGGGACAATTGTGTTTATGGATTTTAGGCAGTCCATATAACCTAGGTGTTATAGGATTAGATACAGTTAACTTTCTGTTGTTATATTTAGTAATAGTGTCATTAAACAATTTAACCATAGCTTTTGTTTTATTAATGAAGGTGTTAAGTGGATTTTTTTCCAAAACTACAAAACTATTATCTGAAAGAAAAGATTCTACTTTCTCAATGTATTGAATTTGTTCTAAGATTACAACACAATTACCCTTATCAGCCTTGCTGAGTACAAGAGAATCTCTATCAATTTTATGTTTAATTGATGTTAGCAAATCCTTTTGTTTTTAAAAATATGGTGATGTCTATGAAAATTGCGTTTGTACTTACATTGTTGTTGTTGAAGTAAGCTAATGCAAGAGTTTCTCAAATATTGTTTAATATCAGCATTTTTAGTCATACCTTCTATTAGAGTATCCAGCTCCACTGCAAATCCTCCAAGCACTGAGTTATTTAAGCTAAAATTCTGACAAGAAAAACTTAAGGCCTAATCCTAAAAAAATACAATTCATCCTCTGAAAAGTTAGTGTTACTTAAGTTTAAGACTCTAGGATGGAATTGGTGATCTGAAAACTTATGCATAGGTGTTGAGGTGCTTCTCTGTTGTTTTTGCAATATCAAACGGTTTAGTTTGTTGGTAAGACTTCTCTTCTTGGTAGATTTTAAGCGGGCGACCTCATCTTCTATGTTGTTGAAGAAATCGTTGACAAGAAACCAAGGATTCTGTTGCAAAATTTGATCATAGGTAATTTTCAGATTGACATTGATATGATGGAGTTTGGTATAGTGCTTCTTAAGTTCTCTTTTCAGGA